TTTTTTTTGAAAAAGGGGAACCCCTCCCCCCGCTCAATTTAAAGGGGTTTTCTCCAAAATCCGGGTTTCCGGAGGAAAAAACACCCAAGTTTGAAAAAAAAAAATTTTGGGGGTTGCCGAGAAACCTAAAAAAAAACCTCCCCCGGGGGGGGGGAGGGGAGCCCCCTTCTTTCCGGGGGGGGCGGGGGGGAAATTTTAATATATTTTTTTTTTTTTTTTCCCCAAAATTTTTTTTTGGTTTTAATCCCCCCCCCCCCCCCCCCCCCCCCCCCAAATGTCAAAAGCGTTCAGAGAATATGCAGTCTAGGGAATAAGCAGCTCACAACACTGTTCATAACACTGCTCACCGAGAAGACAGGTAAGTTTAATTTAATAGTTTCGAAAAGTCTGAAACATCCCTGAAATGACAGTTATAATGGAATTGAAGTCCGTATTTGAAATCCGTTCTAAAACAAAAAAGTTCTCTATAAATAGCCAGAGATTAATTCTCCAAAAACAGACTTCTTGAAAAGAAAAACAATAAAAACCAAAGAAAACCTATAATCATTTCTCTTTTTTCCTAAATCAAAACCGTACTGATTTGATCGTCGGAGTGCTAACTCCGGCATCAGCCCGGTCTTCCTTTTTTGTGTTCTTATTTGCAGAATCCAAGAAATTCATCAACTTATACGGATCTAGAAGATCCACCAATATATTCGGACGAATCATATATATATATATATATATATATATGGGGCTATATGCCAAACACCCTTCATGGGATTTTAATTATTGATAAATTATTTATTTATAAATGATATTTGAGATAAATCCAATGGGCCTGAAAAACTATATATGTCATATTAAGTATAATTATTTAATTTAAAAAACAATTATACCCATAATCTACACTCAAATCTTCTTCAAAAATTATTCCCCTAATCACGCCAATTTAGTTTTTTTTCCTTTTCTTTTTTATTTTGTTTAATGTTTTTCTTTATTTTGATTTAAAAAAAATTGTAATTTTTTTTTTCGGTTTTATATTTTAAATTATTTTTTTCTTATTTATATTTTTCATGTTTTTTATTTTAATTTAAAAAAGGGTTTTATTTTTATTTTCATTTTTTTGATGGTTTTTCTTTTTTCTTAATTTCGATTTTTTTTAAATGGTTTTTTTTTCTTTCCAGTTTTTTTAAATAAAAATCACTCTATATAAACATGAAAATCATTATGTATAAACAGCTATATAAACATGAAAATTGAAAACCACTCTGTATAAAAATAGCTATATAAACCACTATGTATACACAACTATATAAATATAAAATCACTGTGTAAAATTTAAGTTTGGTGGTGGTTTTATTTTTTTAGGTTTTGTTTCTTACCCATATGATTCAATTCTTCTTAATGTAATAAATTTTGAAATTCAACTGGAAATCGAAATTGGTTTATAATGGTGGAGGCGGCGAATCTTGAAAAGAAAAAAAATAATTGGTTTCTGGTAGTTTGCGGACGGTGATTGCTGTTGGGGGTGGGGGCAGGGGATTCACTAGAGATGGTGGTAAAATAATGGTAGTTGTTGGATTGGGCGGGGAGGGAGAGTGGGGTGTAGAAGAGAAATCACGTGATAAATAATTATTAAAAGTTTGTAAAAGTTTAGGATTAAATATAAAGGTATAATAGTGAGACTTAATTATTTTTTATTAGTTAAAAATATTTTGGATTTTATCTTAAAATAATAAAATATTTTTGGACTCATTGTAATTACACATGTGTAACTAGGGAGTTTTGGCAAATATATATATATATATATATATATATATATATATATATATATATATATGTATATATATATATATATATATACAGAAATGATGTAGTAAAATCTCTACTTAATATGGTTCCGTATAATAACCAAAACATGAATAAAATTATAATTATATATCTTTTTATGTATTATAAGATGAAAACTAAAAATGATCCACATAAATAAAGAGATAAAATGTAGGGAAATGTAATTTTAAATTTTTAACAATTTGGTAATCAGATTCACCATAATTTATTCTTGAGAAGGAAAAAACGAATAACCAATTAAAATTTATTAAAAGAATAAAGTTCACCTACCCCGTGAGTAGAAGCTCATTTTCTCAATTAGTATACTTTATTAATAAAAGACTGACATTAATTATCAAAAAAAAAAAAAGACTGACATTTAAGAAAAATAGGCATCCATCGTTAACACTTTTCATTTCGTGCCCACGTGCTGTGACCTTTCCCGAGTCGCCGCCCATGTGCACCAAACTCTTTTTATATTAATTAAGTTTAGCCACTAGATTTTTTGATTGATTAAGGTTAAATTAAAAAATTATTCTGCTTGCATATTTGCAATTATCCGTTTCAATATAATTATAAGGTTAAATTTCATTTTCCTCTTTACTTTGACTTGATATTACTTTACCCTCTTTTACTTTAATTACATCGATTTGTTTCTTTCTACTTTGGCTCGAAATCACTTTAACCCCTTATACTCTCAATTGCATCACTTTGCCGCCTTGTACTTTAGCTCGATATCAGTTTAGCCCCTTATACTCTCAATTGTATCGATATGCCAGTGTACTTGAAAAATTGTCTCAATGCGGCCATCGTCGTTACTTTCACACATTTGACATTGACAACGTTTGATCTAAGTTTGAAAATTATAAAAGACCCACCCCTCCCAGTTTAAATAATTAATAAAGAAAAAGTAAATTATGGCTCGTGGACTATGTTTTCTCGTTGCCTATTTATTTTTTTGGTTTGTTTTTTTAATTTTTTTTTTAATAATTATTTAAAATGGAAGGAGTGACTTTTTAGTAATTTTCAGACTTAGATAAAACAGTGTTAATGTCAATGGTTTGAAAACTCACGGCGATGGCCACATTGAGACAATTACGTGGGGGCAAATCGATGCAATTGAGAGTAGAAGGGTGTAAAATGATATCGAGCCAAAGTACAAGGAGTAAAATCGATGCAATTGAGATCGTAGAAGGGCTAAAGTGATATCAAGCAAAAGTACAAGGAGAAAAGTAAAATTTACCCTAATTATAATTATTCATTTCAAATGTATATTAATTTACTAAAAAACTCCTACTTATGTAGGTAAACTTAACAATTAAAATCATAAGAATAGATGGTAAAACAATACATAGTTGAGGATACCGTTGAGTCCAACTTTGGCAAATGCGGCAAGCCCCAATTCAATTGCAAAGAATCCCTCTAATATATATATATATATATATATATATATATATATATATATATATATATATATATATATATATATATATATAAAATCATCAAAATTTTATTATTTAGCTCACTCAAATTTCATAGTAATGCAAGAAAGGTCCTAAAAAGTTTTCTTTTCGTTTTTTCTTTCCTGTTTCCTGATTTTGTAAAAGAGGTATGTAGAAAAATCTTAATGTTTTTTCCTTTCTTTTCCCTATTGTATGTTTTCATTAAAATAAAGTCGTAATTTTATTTCGAAGTTGTTGCCCCCAAACCCTAAAATTAAGTCCATCATATAATAAATTCCTAATCTCGGCCACTGATTGAGAGAATTATTATAATTAAACAAATAAAATGATTTTTATTTTATTTTATAATTTAACATTATCTTAGTACGTGGCCGTAATTTACGCCAACATTAATTCAATACCACATTCGGTCGATGCCAATTGCAATTTAAAAAGTATGATACATGTTCTCTAATGTCATAAGCCTCAATTAGGAAACTATCATGTTCATAATCAAATCTAAACCATGACAATTTTAGCAACTATTATTCTATTGGATGGAATTTTCAATTTAGGATAATTATTAAAGCGTACTGTCCTCAAACTAGCATTGGTCAATTCTATTAAAGTATGCTACCATTAAAAAAAAAAAGTTCAATTCCCCCCCCCCCCCCTCAATTATTCCTCGAAAGGCACGCGCAACTTGAGACCAATTTCACCTAACTTCATGTAGACCAATGTGTCTCAATTTATTAAAAAAAAATAATAAAAAATTGTCTCAATTTATTAAAAAAAAATAGAAAATTGTGTCTCAATTTATTATAAAAAAAATAAAAATTGTGTCTCAAAAGCCTCGTGTACAGTAGAATCTTGATAAATTAATATCGATAAATTAGTAACATTGATTAAATTATAGTTTCTTCTGGTCTCGACTTGGTAAAAATTAACTTAATTATTAGTTTGATAATTTAATATTTCGTCAATTTAATAGAATATTTGTTAGACCTGAGAGTATTAATTTATAAAGGTTTAATTGTATTTGTAATATATATATTAAAATAAAATAAAAATTGATAAAACTGAAGTAAAAATACTTTGATTTGATAATTCATACTATATCTATATATATCACCCTATGAGGAACAAGAAATTGCAGCAAACCAAACATGGCTTCATCAGTTCAATCTTCATGCACGTTTCTCCTCGCCACCAACCACCGCCACAGCCGACCTCCCCCTTCCTCACCCCACTCTCTCACACCCGCCGGCCGGCATCGGCGCAGCCACCTCTTCCAGGTCTCATGCAAACAACAAAACCCACCGCCGCCGTCGTCAGAAGGAAAGGTTGACCGGAGAAACATGCTCCTGGGCCTGGGCGGTCTCTACGGCGCCGCCAACCTCATTCCGACAAACCCCGAAGCAGCTACCGCCAGCCCGATCGAACCGCCGGAGTTCAAGGCCTGCGGCGCCGCCCGCGATGTCCAGAGCGGGGATCTCCTGAACATCAACTGCTGCCCTCCGACGTCGGACAAGATCGTCGACTTCAAGCTCCCGCCCCCGCCGGCCAAGCTCCGGGTCAGACCGCCGGCCCACAGGGTGAGCAAAGAGTACCTGGCGAAATTCGAGGAAGCCATACGAAGGATGAAGGCGCTCGACAAATCCGACCCGAGTGATCCACGCGGGTTCATGCAGCAAGCCAATATCCACTGCGCATACTGCAATGGGGCCCACGACCAAGTCGGGTACAAAGATCTGGATCTCCAGGTTCACAATTCATGGCTGTTCTTCCCTTTCCACCGCTGGTATTTGTATTTCTACGAGAGAATTCTCGGCAGTTTGATCGACGACCCGACTTTCGTTCTGCCCTTCTGGAACTGGGACAACCCCAAAGGTATGCAGATGCCGAAAATCTTCGACAATTCCGGTTCGCCTCTATACGACGCGAACCGGAACCAGAAGAACCGGCCGCCTGCGATCATCGACCTCGGCTTCTCCGGGGCGACCGAAGATCTGCAGGTGGTGGTGAACAATCTCACTGTCATGTACAGTGAGATGATCCGGAGCGTGAACTCCACGCTCGACTTCATGGGGCAACCCTACAAGGCCGGCGACGCCGCCAGCCCCGGGATGGGCTCGTCGGAGCGTGGCTCACACGTGGCCGCACACGTGTGGGTCGGAGACCCCAGAAACAAGTACAGCGAAGATATGGGGAACTTCTACTCCGCCGGGAGGGACGTTCTTTTCTACTGCCACCACGCGAACGTCGACAGAATGTGGTCGGTATGGCGAACCCTAAAAACCGACGTGCCAAAAGACATAAAAGACCCTGACTACCTCAACGCCGCGTTTTTATTCTACGACGAGAACAAGCAGCTGGTGCGCGTGAAAGTCGGCGACTGTTTGGACCACAAGAAGATGGGGTACGAGTTCGAGAAAGTCGACACGCCGTGGCTCAACTACAAGCCGACGAAGAAGGCGGCGAAGGCGAAGATCCTGAAGATCGCCGCCGGCGCGGAGACGGTGGAGGCCCTGTTCCCGCTGAATCTGAAGAAGATCACTAGGGTTTTGGTCAACAAGTCGGCGAAGGGGAAAGCCGACGAGGTCCTGGTTCTTGAGAACATAGAAACCGACACCACCAAGTTCATAAAGTTCGACGTCTTCGTCAACGACGAGGACGACGGATCGGTGGAGCTCGACAAGGCTGAGTACGCCGGAACTTTCGCGCAGGTGCCGCACAAGACGAAGGACAAGAAGGGCAAATCGACCATCAGTCTGAGGTTGACGGAGCTGTACGAGGATGTCGACGTGGCGGATGATGACACTGTGGTGGTCACGCTTATTCCCAGATCTAACGGTGACGATGTCACCATTGGTGGTATCAAGATCATTGCGTCACCGCCCAGATCTGGGTAAAACCGGCCGCCGGCGATCTAGCAGAGTAATGATGGTGCAGGGTGTACGTGCTCTGTTTCCGATTGGCATCGATCAACATGATTGGGGTTTTTTTTTTGGTTTTTTTTTTATTAATAATTAATAATTAGTTGCGGGTAATAATAATTGGTGCTCCTCGATTGTAATCCATTACTGTTTTCTTCTTTAGTAGTGGATTCTGTATTTGAGTGGGAAAAGCTTCTGCTGCTTTTCTTTTGTATTTCCGCTTCTACGTATTTCGATTAATTTCGGAACTGAGTACGTTTTTAATTAATTAATTATGTTTTTTTTTTTTAATTATAAGTCAGGCTACTTCAAATAATTAGTTTGATGCTAAAAAAAAATAGGGTAAATTACAAAAACCCCCTTAACTTAAGTTAAATTATAAAAAATGCCTTCACCTTTACGTAATTACCAAAACCCCCAATGTTTATTTACGTCTTACACCGACTGTTTTTATTCCAGAAAATATTGCCCGAAAAATGCAGATTCTACACTTACAAACGTACCGGTAGGATGCCCAGATGCTTAAAATATGCATATGCCTGCTATAATGGTTTATACAAGCAATCGAGAAAGTGTAGTCACATTGTAATGTGATGATACAAATATGAGGTTGTTGCACAATGTATACCATTCCGAAACCACCTTACATTTAAGAAACTATTTTTAGAGGTAGAATCAGTATTTTTTTTTAGAAAATATTCCTTGAAAAAAAATCCGTTAAAAAGTCACACCATGAGGAGGTCGTTGTAAGAAGAAAACAAATGTCGGGAAAATTTTGATAAGTATGAATATGTAAAGAGTATTTTTCATAATTTAACCTAAATTAAGAGAGGTTTTTGTAATTTATCCTAAAAATATTCCCACATTCACTTTATGCTACAGAAGTGGGCGAAACGCATCGAATATAACACAGTGCTGGTGTATGGATGAATGATATACACTTTATAATATTCATTTCCCTTTTTTATATTATTTTTATACACTCACTTATTCTCTTTACATTTGGGGCTTTGGATAAAAGACAAACGATAAAGGAAGGAAATCACACTATTAGATTTGGGTACATTTACAAATAACTCAATCATGTGCTACTTATTTTTTAAGAGGAGACCAAAGTTTCTTTTAAAAAAAAATCAGAAAATGTTCAGTGGTGTGTAAAAGATTAAAATATCAATACAGATCAGTTTCTAGGTAATTTCTCCAAGCAAATTAGTCTCTACTCATGCGTCTAACATGCAGATCAGTCCCTAATGAAATGTGCAAATCCTAAAATATTATTTATTTTATACTAATTTTACATAACTTATTTTCAACCTCCAACGCGCCGTTTGTGTTACACGCTCTTTGCTTGTTACATTTCAAAAATCAAACAACAAGAAAGAAGTTTAAGGCGCAGAAAAAACCATCGTTCATCAATTTATACCCATTTCCAGACAAAGAAGAAACATAGAAGAAACAAAGAATAGTGGTTTACGGCCGCAAGTTTATTAAAATAAAGGGATTATTTTGTAGACCCCCTCATTTCCAAATTATATTGAACTAACTACCAAGTGGATTACACTCTAGGAGAAACTCCCCTCCTTTCGAAAATATTTTGACATACCCCCGTGACACCCTAAAGTCCCTATAATACCCTTTTAAAATCAGTTTTAAACCCTAGCCACTACAATCGTCTCTCATTTCTTCTCTCAGATTCAAAATCCCGCCTCCACAAACCTCCCACCGGCTAAATTGCTTCCCGGAGCCATAACTCTCTCTCCGGTGGTCGGAATTCGATGGTTTAGCTACCATTGGATTCCTCTCGTCGAGCTCTTTCTTTTGGTGGTGATTTCATTCAGTTTCGATGGCTGATCTGTTTCTGCAATTTTTTTTTTATTCGACGACGGTGGTCTTGCCGGAGCTTTATTTTGTGTTCCAGCAGTCGAAATTTGACGGGCCACCCACCGTTGGATTCCTCTCGTCGGGATCTATGTTTTGATGGTAATTTCGTTTATTTTTATGTTTTCCAATTTATTTCTATATTTTTTTTGCATTTGTGGGCGCGGGGAACCGTGGGTGGTTATTAGCGGCGTCTAGGGTTTTGATAGGAGGCGAGGGGCCGGGGTGAGGAGTCACTGTCTGTTTGATTTAAAATCTGTAGCATTTTCCAGCAATAACCTCTCTCTCTTTCTCTTGATCTCTCAGTGTTTGTTGATTTTTGAGTGTTTTGATGTTTTTCTTCAAATTTTGTTGATTTGCACTAAAGTAATTTTTTTTGTTTTGATTTTGCAATTATATGGCCACTTATAGTGGGCCTTAGAGTCTCACATTGAAGGTATCAATGATTTTTTAAGTTACATTTGATGTGTTCATCAGTCTGTATACATATATATACATATATATAGTAACAGGTAGTTTACATGTGTGTATACTTGTGTATTTACGTGTTGTGTTTTGATTTTTATTATATGTTTTGTAATTTGAATATTTAAATTTGTATATTTTTGTTTTTGTTTTTTTAATTTATTTTGTATTTGTGTGTGTGTATTTGTGTTTGTATACAAATATGTGTATAAAAATATGGATATATATATATATATATATATATATATATATATATATATATATATATATATATATATATATATATATATATATATATATATATATATATATATATATATATATATATATATATATATATATATATATATATATATATATATATATATATATATATATATATATATATATATATATATATATATTTAACAAAGTTTATAATTAAAAATGATATATGCAGGACCATAAATGTTGAATGCAGTTTGGCCGAAAATTGCATATAAGGGTAGTATAGTACTTTCCCATCTCCAGGGGTATGTCAAGGGATGATTTGTGCTTGGGTTTATCCCTAGTTTATTTAGTGGCTAGGGAAGTATGTAAAATAACCCCTCAAATAAAATCAACTATAAATTAATATAATCAATAAAAAAAATTAAAATCAACTATTAAAATTAGGGTTTATTAGGATAACCCCCTTGTTCATATTTTCTAATGAGGTAGATCCAATTAATTTTTCCCTTTTTGATATACACCCAAATATGCCAACTTGGCACAATATATTATTTATTTTCCCTTTAATACCCCTGTTTATTTTTGAACGGCATTTATTTCCTTAACTACGTGATATGAGATTATTGATTTGTTGCCTAAAGTCACGGAATAAAATTACGTGAGTATATTATCAAATCGTGTACAATCGGTTTTGAAGAATTTCTCCATCGATTCATCGTTTCCATCGGCTTTGAAGAATTTTTCACCAGCGTGGAGGTAGGTTCGGATCTATTGTGCATGGGTTGTTGTGTTATGGTGGTTAGACATTATAAGATTTGTGTTGATACGTTGATTCTATTGGTAGTAAAATATATCGTTTTTTATGGTGTTTGCTTGGAAGAGAATTCACAGAGTTGGCAAATGATGGTTCACGCAGTCGGACCAGAGTTGTTTTATATGAGTGTCGTAGTTGGTTTACGCAATAATCGAAATAAATGTCTGGTATGGTCGAGTTCATGAAGTTTGACCCCGATAGTTGGTTTATTTGTTTACAACAGTCGATTTTAGTGTGCTCGGTAATACATTGAAATATATTTCGTAGTATTTTTTAATTGATTGTATGGATTATGCATTTTTAAGTTTATTTTTGATGATGTTAATTTATTGTCATTCAAATGTATTTGCAGTCTATTTAATCATTTTTTAGTATTCTGCATTTTTAAGTTCGTTTCATGATTTTAGGTTTTTTTCGATGGCGAATTTTGTACGGATTTTGTTGAGGTTTGGTGGTTGGTTGCTATAAAGAGGTGTTCCAAAGCCATAAGCAACACCTCCACCACCACCACGTCCGACCACCTCCACCTCCAAAACCGCCAAAATCGACCAAGACCTCCGCCGCTCCCGCCTCCAAGGTCGTAACAATCAATTTATAAGTGATATCGTCGTTAGCCGCCGCCGCCGCCGTCAAGTACTGCTCCAATCTAGGGTTACTCAAATCTAGGATTACTCAAATCTAGGGTTTTGGTAATTCTTCGGCCCATAGTTGATTAACGAGATGCATAGTCGAATTACATCTGTATTAATCGACTATCAGTGTTAAATTAATAAACTATTACATATTTTACTTGTGCTTTAATATTAATAAACTAAGTGTCATCAACTTGAAAAAAAAGTTCAAATAATTAATCAACTATAGACTTGCTTTATATTTACTAGATATTTTTTTTATCAAGAGTATTCATATGTTTTACAACAGTAACATCAATGTTCATTTGTATTTTAATATTAATAGACCATGCCAAATTAATACACTATCAATGCCAAAATTAATAGACTATCAATGTTCATTTGTGTTTTAATATTAATAGACTATTCCATATCATTTAATAGACTATCCCACTGATATAATTCAACTATGGATCTCGTTAATCAACTATGGGACGAAGAATCATCAAAACCCTAGATTTGAGAAGTGACGGCGGCGGATTTGTGTTTTAAAATTAATAGACTATCTCATATATATCATTTAATAGACTATCCCATATATCTAATTCGACTATGGATTAGTTATTTGACTATTGGGCCGAAGAATCAACAAAATCCTAGATCTGAGAAGTGATGGCGGCGGATTTGTGTTTTAATATTAATAGACTATCTCATATCATTTAATAGACTATCCCACTGATATAATTCGACTATGGATCTCGTTAATCGACTATTGGCCGAAGAATCATCAAAACCCTAGATTTGAGAAGTGACGGCGGCGGATTTGTGTTTTAAAATTAATAGACTATCTCATATCATTTAATAGACTATGCCATATATCTAATTCGACTATGGATCTCGTTAATCGACTATGAGCCGAAAATATGGGCCGAAGAATCATCAAAACCCTAGATCTGAGAAATGACGGTGGAGGATTTGTGTTTTAATATTAATAGACTATCCCATATCATTTAAAAAACTATCCCATATATCTAATTCGACTATGAATCTTGTTCATCGACTATGGGCCGAAAAATCATCAAAAGCCTATATCTGAGAAGTGACGGCGGCGGCCGCCGGTGGCCAACGACGATAACAACGACATTGGGCATTTAAGTTACTTGGCTTCACTCCTAAATCGAGTGTCGCACCCTTGGAGGCGGAGGTGGTGCCGGTCGAGGTATAGGTGGAGGTGACGATCTTGGAGGCGGAGGTGGTGGCGGTGCTATCGTCGCCGGCGTATAGTGTTATCTGGTTTTTTCGGAGGTTTTG